TGACTTTAACATACTGTGCTGAGCTTATTAGGGAACAGTGCCTATCAGTTTTGGATTATATCCTTACTTGTTAGAAATGAGAAGCAAGAGAAGAAAAAGGGTTGAGGTCTAAATTGAGATGCAGTAATTCTTCATCACCTACTATGTACAAAGGATGCCCTGGTTGGTAGTTGTTTGTGAGTATTGTAGAAATAGAATTTGGAGAGGGGGAGACAGAATTGCACATGACTGACTCTATGTAATACAAAATGGCGGCATAGTACCTAAGGCATTTGACTGTTAACCAGAAGGCTGGCAGTTCAAACCCACCAGCCACTTCTCGGAAGGAAGATTGGGCAATCTACTTCTGTAGAGATACTGCCTCTGAAACCTTAGGAGTGGTCTATATGAGTAGAATTGACTTGATGGCAATGAGTTTGGTGTTTCTGGTGATGAAATAACATGTTATCATTGCCCATGAGACAGGGGCAGAGAATAAGTCTAGGATTCAAATCCAGTTTTTGCCACCTGCCAGATGTAGAATTGTATTGGTCAGGATGTCAACAAGAAATAGGTGGTTCAAATAAGAGACTCATGAAAGCACTACTTTCAGAGCTGTTAAGGCAGGGTCAGGGACAGAGGATGTTACGGCATCTAGAAACTAGCAACAGTAGAGGCTGTTACGACTCCTAGGCCTGAAAAGACCAGGGAAGGAAACAGTGTTACATGAGTCCCGTGAGAACTGGCATCCTGGCAGGAGGCCATTCAACAAGAATTGTAGTTGTGGAGGGATACTGTTACTGCCCCAGACAAGGCCCTGAAACTGGGAGAGAGCAGGGATCAAATTCCCTGATCTCTCCTTGTGCTTTCTGATCTTTTGCTGGTGCCTCCCATTAGCTGAGACCATCTAGAAATGAGCCTACAAGAGAACCCAGGAGATGTTTCATGGGATCGGTCTGTCTTGCAAATGGAGAATGAATGTGGGCAAGGCAGATGGAGAATAACCTAGAGAAAGTCACTCCCTCTCTTTGAATTGCAGTTTGCTTATCTGTGGTCTAGTGCCTACCCACGTATTAATAGTTGGCCTCATAAATACTCCAACTTTTAATTTTGAAAAACTTCAAAGTTAAGAATTTATGAGAATAGTACAATGGACACATATATCTATTCTTCACCTAGATTCGCTAAATTTAATATTTTGTCACAGTTGCTTTATTCTTTCTCTCTCTCCTCACAGGAACATATACACAAATTTTTACAGAATCATTTGAGAGTTAATTGCCAATGTCCTAGAACTGTATCCCTAAATGCTTAAGCAAATGTCATTGCCTGAAAATAAGGACTTTCCTCTATGTATCTGAATGCAATTTTCATGCTCAGGAAACGTAACATTAAGACAATGCTATTATCAAACATGTATAAGCTATATCAAAATTTCTCTGAGTGTCTCAGTAAGGTGCTTTACTATTGTTTATTTTTTTGCATTTAGTTGTCATGACTTCTTAATCTCCTTTAAGCTAGAATAGTTTTCCAGGCTTTAAAAAAAAAAAAAATCCATGCAATTAACATTTTTCAAGAGTCCACACCAGTTTGCTTTGCAGAAGGATCCCAATATGGAGTTGTCTGATTGCTTCATCATTAGATTCATTTTAAACAATTTTGGCAATTATGCTACAGAGGTGCTGTTGTGTCCTTTTCAGTGCATTGTGTCTGGGGGCACATGATGTCAGAATATTCCATCATAGCCTTCTGGTGAACAATCAAATGCCTTAGGCCTTGTGCCACCGGAGCTCCTCAGCGGTGTTCAGTTAGTTTGATTACTTAGTTAAGGCAGTGTTTGCTGGATTACCCATTATCTTTTCTCCTTGGTAATTCTGTTTGTTTTCACAACCACTGAGTTTTCTTTCTATGGCATAAGTAGTTTCGTTAAAATTTAATTAGGGGATCGGTAAGGCTTCTTTGAAAGTTCTGCACAAATCCTCATCATTTCTTTTCTTAAACTGTTTTCGTGAATTTGTTTTTTCATCTGACAAATTTTTATAGAGTGCTCATAATGTGCCTGAGGAGCCCTGGAGGCACAGTGATGAAGTGTGTTGCTGCTAACGGAAAGTTCAGTGGTTTGAACCCACCAGCTGCTCTGTAGGGGAAAGATGCAAAACTCTGTTTCTGTAAGGATTTATGGCCTTGGAAACCCTGCAGGGCAGTTCTACTCTGTCCTCTAGGGTCGCTATGAGTTGGAATTGACTCAGTGGCAAATGGTATTATGTGCCTTGGCCCTCTGAAATCTTCACAAGTGAGTCTGTGGTTGCTTAAAATGATGATTTAGTTTGGATCTTTGTACTGTGCTCCAATCCATATTGACAGTTGTTTTCAGGTCTCTCCATCTTAAAGTCCCATGTTGTTGTTATGTACCATCGGGTAGGACCAGACTCATAGAGACCCCTCCTTGTGTTTCCAAGGCAGTAACACTACAGTATCACTACAGAAGTAGATTGTCCAACCTTCCTTCTGAGGAGTGGCTGGTGGGTTTGAACCGCCAGTCTTCTGGTTAGCAGTGGAGTGCCTTAGGCACTATGCTAGCAGAGCTCCCATGGTTATGTTAAACTCAAAATGTCCAAATAGAACTCCTGATCTTCTCTTCTCTACCTGCTCTTCCTGTGTTCTTATTACAGTAAAGCACACTTTCATCTTCTCAGAGATCCGATACACTAAAATAACTCTTATTTATTGAGGCCAGACAACATAATAGGTCTTTTATTCATGTTACACACATTATCTCATTTAATCCCTGCCTTGAGAAATAGACTCCATTATCCTGAGGACATAGGGCCCTCAGGCCCAGGTCAATAGCCAGTATGTTTTCATGCTAGGGTTCAAATCCAATTCTCTTTGACTTCAAAGCTTTGGCTTCAATTCTGGTTCCACTACCTGCTATGGGATTAGATAAATAACCCTGGTGCTTCAGTTTCCTCCTTTCTAAAATAGGGAAAATAATCATCCCTACCTAATAGGATTTTTATGATACTTGCATGAGGTAGAACTTGACAAACATTTGAACAATTTCTAGTGACATCACAATACCTGCCAAGCTATAAATCTAGTGCTGTCATAAACTTTATCCACTCATTGAGAGCAGATAAGTCTTCTTAGGACCATTGTCTTGACCAGTGTCATTTCCTGAGTGTAGACCAAGATTGACAAACCATAACCAACAGGCCACAACCAGCCTGTGGTGTGGTTTTGTAAATAAAATTGTATTAGTGCACAGCCACACCCATTTGTTTACATGTTTTCTTTGGCTGCTTCTGGCTGATACCCAACTGTCAGTGGTGTATTGCTGAACAGGTTTAGCAGAGCTTCTAGAATAAGACAGAAGTCCTGGTGACAACTGATCTTGGAGAGGACGTAGGACTGGACAGCGTTTTGTTATATTATGCATGAGGGACCAATTCTAAGGCAGTCAGTAACAATAACCCGACTGCTTTCACCCTACGGTGGTAGAGTTGAGTAGTGGCAACAGAGACTATCTGACTTGCCAAGCCAAATTAGTTACTTGCTGGACATTTACAGAAAAAGTTTGCTGACTTCTGTTGGTCTAGAGGATTACAGTAGCCTCCTTACTGGTTTTCCTGGTTATAATTTATTTCTCCTTGAACTCATCCTCTCCTTACCCTCCACACAAGGGACGATTTCTCTAAAACTTGAATTCAGGCATGCTAATCTGCTCCTTAAGGAGGGGTCGCTATGAGTCGGAGCCGACTCGATGGCACAAAGCAACAACAACAACAATCTGCTCCTTAAAATGTTTCATTGGCCCACACTGCTAAGAGCACTCGCTTCCACTTCTTGCGAATTCCCACACTCGCCTTTTCCTCTGGTCAGAGAATGTCATGCCCTTTCCAATCCCTGTGCCTTGGCATACACAGTTCTTTTTTGTCTGAACACTCACCTCTTGCCCTTGTCCTCAATAATCAGTTCAAGTTTTACTTCCTGTAAGAAGCCCTTTCTGACTCCCACCTATAAAACCAGTGATTTCTGACTGCCCTTCTGTGGATTGTGTGGACTCCAGTTCCAGCATTTATTCCATTCTATGGTGATCATGACTTTGGTTATCTGTCCCTCCCATTTCTGTGTGTTCCTCTCAAAGGAAGGAACACATTTTTCATTTTTGTGTCTCCAGAACTCTGTAAAAACTGGCCCTTACTAAATGCCGGTTAGGTTGCTTACTGGCGTTTGACTTTCAAGAGTTGTAAAAGGTGAGCTTTTGTTCTGTTCCCAATTTTCATAAATTTAAGAACACCAGGCATATTTAACCTTAGCTTTGGGAACTACTGCTTGAAAAATTCCCATTTGAAAAACAAATCTATCTTTTTGCAGAAGCTTTTAATCTGCTGGCTCATTCTGTGGTTGACTGTTTTTGGACCTTCTCCAAATCTGTTCTATCTTTGTGGAGGTGAGGCTTTTAAGAACATCTGAATTCTTTTCCTGATCTGCAAAGCTAGAGGAAGATCAGTTTATTTCTTGGGTTTTGGGTATTTTCTCTCAACGAATATTAAAAAGATCAAAGAGAAACAAAGTCTTATTTGTAAAACATGCTCAAGGACACTTAGAAGGATGGTGCCATGCAGATAAAATGCAGTTTTATTAAGGATGCCCCGAGATTAATTCTGTCATTAATTCAAGGGTTCCGAGTCAGAAGCCTAGCTGTTTGGGGAATACCAACAAAGTAAACTGAGTGGTAAAATGTGCTTAGATGATTGGATAACATTGGGATTTAAGGGGAGCCCTGCACTCCAGGAAACTGTCCAAGTCTCCACTCAGTTATCCAGATCCTCAAAGTGAACGAGAAGCTTCAGTTTCAAATTGAGTGCATTTTCCATCCATGGATTGGCTTGTTTTGTTCAGTTTTACTTTGAGTGTTTGAGGTTATCTTTTCGACGTAACAGCTAAACCCACGGCTTCCTTTCTCGTAAAACCAAAACAAAAAAGGCTTTCTATTCAGGTGCCTTCTGTGTGTGCACATGTGTAGTACATACCTGGGATCAAAGCCGACTATATAAAGTCCTTGATTCTGTGTGGGTTCAAACACATTCAAAGCTTCAGGATCCTGAAAGGTTTCACTCTGCTTCCTGAAGCCCGGAGCCCGCTCCCACAAAACCATGGCTTGCATTGGATTCCGCAGGTGTGGGGCTCAGCTGCACCCACCCAGAACCTTGTCCTGCACTGCTATGCTTTCTCTTCTCTTCATTCCCATCTACTCCAAAGGTGAGTGATGCTTTTGGAACATGAAGGTGGAGGAGGTGTTTATCCTATATGAGTTTCATTTCTTTCAGCAGTCGAGGGCAGTGATTTATAGCAAAGCCAGAAGCTAGAAGTAAAACTCCAATCTCCCAGCTCAGATGGCTCTGGAAACAGACAACAGCCAGCAGCAGCAAGTAAGAAGACAGACAGATCTTAGAAGAGTGCCAGGCATACAGTTGCTTAATGAGTACATGTGAGTTGGTTTGGGAGACACTGGCAATACTCTAAGGTATTTTCTTCCAATTTTCTTCAGAAGAAGATTGGAAGAAAATAACTTAAAGTAAAGGGATTTAGGAGGGAATTCACAAGCCTGGATGCATTTGAGGTTGGTATCAGGTGAATGTACTCAAGATTTTCTTAAAAAAAAAAAAAAAATCAATAAAATCATAGGAAGAGTTCCTTCCTACCCAATTCAAGGTTTAAGTTCCCCTAATTTACTTTTATAAACTAACTCCCCAACTTGTTTAAAACTTAAGCAAATTAAGAGAAGAACTCCTCTTTAATCAGTTAAAGGTTTTAAGGTCCTATTAGCTAATTCTATTAACTACCTAATGAATGACTTTATAAATGAAAGCAATTTGAAATAGCAAAGTAACAAAAGAAAAAAGAAATACTGAAAGGAAGAGAGGAAGGAAGGAAGGAAGGATACAAGGAAGAAAGGAAGGGGAGAGGAAATGAGCCATCACTGGCAGAAGTTATTTAGTTGCTGTCTGACCTACATGTGGACTTCAGATGCAGATCTTCAGTTTTCAGACTAAATAAAGATCTTTTAGAGATAGACGTCAGGTCTGTTACATGGCTGAAAATGATGAGCATTCCCATTTAATCTCAACCTCTCTCTCTAGACCTTCTTGGTTAAGAGATCATGTGGTTTATATGAAGTATGTGGTCAAAAGATATTTGATAATTTAATTTTTACTGAATAAGAAAGTTTTTGCATGTAAAGATTAAATAGTGTTAGAAATAATCAAATGTCCTTTTTAGGAAATTGATCTCAACCTGTAACTAGAGACCTTCCATGGTGGATACTGGGAAATTGACTATGATCAGATTTAATAGTGATAATTGGGAGATTGCCTGGGGAAAGGGCGGGAAAATTGGTCTTACTTAGGCCTGGAGTCAATGCAATAAAAATTATTGAGCACCCATTTGGGCAGGATTGGACTACCACTCCAAGAGGCAGAAGATGGGGTAGGTGTCATCAGCACACACAGAACACTACAATACAGGGAAGAATTTAATTAAGTACTGCAATGGGGTTATACCAGTAAAAGGATGCTCAGAAGGCAGTGGAAGTGAGTCCATCTAAAGTAATCAAGCTTTGAGGAGAAGGTGGTATTGGAAACAGACTTTAAAGGATAGGTTAGATTCTGACAGGAAAAGATGAGGGCTGAGGAAGAAGATGCTTGTCTTGCCAAACCGAGCTGCTGAATTAGCCATGGCTGTGGCTGCTACCATATTGTTCTCTCTTTTAAGAACGGATGTTGTCGAGTGCAGATGCTTGGGAGAAGGTCTTTAACATAGGGTGATGTATAGGTAGAAAAGGGTATCCTAGAAACTAAGACTGGATTGGTAGGTTGGAATGGGATCATGGACGACAATGAATGGTATTTATTTCATTTGTTTTTGCAAGCAATGGTAAGTAAGGCATCAATGGGTTTGAGCAGATGAATAACGTTCAATCAAAGTTTTGGGGTGATGACTAGTTGCCACTTGATTGACTGAAGAGGGGCCAAGTTAGTTACAGGCAGAACAGTTTGGAGACAACATGATATGATGCCACTATTTTTAGATGATGCAAGTTTCTTTGTATAGAGAGCTCTATCCCTTATCCTGTAGAAGCCAGAGGAAAAAGAACAAAGGAACATGAGGGTGTTTGAGCAGAGCAGAGAGAGGGCGGAAGAGGTAATGGTGGTGGCAGGGGAAGCCCATAGACGTTAGCAGCAGGGTTGCCTCAACCAGGAGAGGAAAAGACCTGGTGCCCTCTGCTCTGTGGCTTCCTTCATCTAGCAGCATCCCCATTCTGTGATAATAATGTTAGAGTAAGGTGGTCAGCACAGTGAGCCATGGCTCTGCTGCTACTCCTGGGTGACCAGTTAAAGAAATAGGAAGAGATTCAGGAAGGATGCTTTGAGGGATTGGGTAAGATCCTGCACTTCAACATCCAGAACTCCTCCTGAATATGCTCTACTATATTCTTACAATACCAGAGTTGATGGCACTTTGATATTAACCTCTACCCACTGCAAGGGAAAATAAGGAAGGCCGTAGGAGAGGTATGACTTGTCCAAGATCATGTCATGGCAGAGGCAGGTCTTCTGTTTGTTACATCAATATTCTTCCTGTCTCAGCTGTCTGCCTGCCAGCAATGATTTCCCGATAAAGAACACTTTTTTTTTGGAGACTCTCTGGAAGACAGCTAATAGAAAGTCTAGGGGATAAGAGATGGAGAGGAAGCTAGGGTGGGTGGAGAGGGAAAGTGGTAAGGAAAGGTGATGGGTTTGTTGAAAAGGGAGAGAAGGGCTGAGAGGTGAAGATGGAGGGTGCTCATCAAAGATAAACCTTCCATGGCTCAAGGTTTTGCCTGGGACTGACCACGGATGAGAGTGAGTTCATGGAGTTCCCTTTGCCTTTTCTATGTTAGGACTGCACGTGTCCCAGCCTGCAGTGGTGCTGGCCAGCAACCGGGGTGTCGCCAGCTTTGTATGTGAGTATGAGTTCTCACCCAAAGCCAAAGAGGTCCGGGTGACAGTGCTGAGGCAGGACAACAGCCAGATGACTGAAGTCTGTGCCTCCACATTTGAGGTGGAGAATGAGTTGACCTTTCTAGATGATCCCACCTGCACTGGAACCACAAGTGGGAACAAAGTGAACCTCACCATCCAAGGGCTGACGGCCATAGACACAGGGCTGTACATCTGCAAGGTGGAACTCATGTACCCACCGCCTTACTACATGGGCATGGGCAACGGAACACAGATTTTTGTCATTGGTGAGCAACGCCATTTTACTAAGCTGACACCTTTCACACTGCTGTCTTCTTTGCATGAGAATAGTTTTGGTCTTTAATGTCAGGTGATTCATTGTTTAGGACTGTGGATAGTCTCTTGGTTCTCTTTAAGGGTGCACTGTTGTTTCATGTAGTAGTCTTACTTACTATGGGTGGTATTCTAGACAGCATTCTGACCATAAAATAAAATGGGTTGAGGAAGATTTTTCTTTTTTTCTCTACTGGCAAGTTGGGACACTCCCTCTGAAATGATAACCATCATGAAGTTTAGTCTTATGCCTTAAATATGACATTCTTTGGAGGTGGCCCCAAATAACTAGGTTTACCTTTGGGCTAGCTATACTATTTAAGGGTGGACATCAAAGTTTGGGAGCTCCAGCTTCTTCCTTTTTTCACCAATACTGGGAGGAGGGCCCTAACATTTAAAGACTGCCTCATGGATGCTCGGCTGTTTTCTGTTGCAGATCCAGAACCATGTCCAGATTCTGAGTTCCTCCTCTGGATCCTTGCAGCAGTCAGTTCAGGATTGTTTTTTTACAGCTTTCTCATCACAGCTGTTTCTTTGAGTAAAATGGTGAGTGTGATGTTGGCAATCCACCATGTTTGGTGGGGACACTTTTAGTGATATCATTTGACCAAGTGATGAGGTTGAAGTTAGTTTTCTTAAGATGAAGCAATACTTGCTGAAGAGGAAGGACAGTGGTAGAGAACACACTAGAATCCTTGGCATTGGCCTTTGAAGTTTCAGGATGACTAATACTTGAGATGAGGATGTTTGACATTGAATGTTTGTGTGCTTCTGAACAGGGTTTCAATTTGAGTAACTGAACAACATGGGACAGCTGTTTTGCTCTTCATCTTCATGACAAATGTACTTCAGTTAGTAACTCTGAAACAATCAGACTGGTCAAAATGCTAATAGAGATAATCAATCACCTGGATAGATTTTATGTTCCTTCATTTTGCCTGGAAGATATCTCTTGGTGCCACCTTACTTGTACCTTCCTTATCCAAGCTGTCACCTGTCACTGGCACAATACCTGACTAGGGCTCTCTATTATCCAGTCTGCTTACCTGGCAAAACTTGCTCAACCTTCCAGCTCTGTCCATTAGATTTTATTTACTACAGTTGTTGGCGGGAAAGAGGCGGAAGTACGGAATCACTCATCCTGTGAAAAGTTCTTCCTGATCGTCCCTCTTAACCACATCTGCCTAAGGCTGGTTTTGCCATCACAAAGTCTCTCTCTCTCTAGTTCCATCTCTCCTTTTCAATCTTCTCTCTCTCACACATACACAAAGATATACTCAATTCCAAGATAATCTCCTCAATTTAATAGTGATGTTTACTTGTTTTGAGTTCTTTGTTTGTTACAAACTGCCACACAGACTAGTAGACTAGACCTCAATATACTGAAGTAATAAAAACTGAGGACTAATGCAGACAGAGAAAAAGTAATAAAAGGAATATGAAGAGTGGAGTTGAGAGCCACAGCTCTCAAACAGAGTAACTAAAGTTTATTACCTTATCATGCTTGCTCCATCACAAACTCCAGGCCATTATCATAGACACTCTGTGTTATGTTTGAAGATTTCTCCAAGTCTTTTTCTGCTATCTTTCAGTCAAAGAAAGCAATTACTATTTTGCATCAATAGCATAGTTACTTACCCAAAGTGAATTTTAATAGCTGAGTTAAGAAAATATCCTGGGGCTTATAATTCTATATGTTGTGAACATTCATTTTTGAATAGGCAGGGATCCAATATTTGTCAAGTTCTTATTATGGGTAGAAGTGGCTGCTGTATTCAATAATAATTACCATTTATTTTTGTGTTTGGCAGCTAAAGAAAAGGAGCCTTCTTACTACAGGAGTCTATGTGAAAATGCCCCCAACAGAGCCAGAATGTGAAAAGCAATTTCAGCCTTATTTTATTCCCATCAATTGAAAGATCATCATGAAGAAGAAAGACCATTTTCCAGTTTCTTGGACCTGAAAAAATTCTCACTTTTTGATATCCAGCCATTTTTATTTGTTTATGTATTTTGGGAGAATTCATCTCTCTTTAATATAAAGTTGAATGTACAACCTAAATTAAGTGTAGTACAATTTAAAGCAAAAGAGCAGGAAAATAGAGCTGGGATGTTTCTGTCACATCAGATCCAATTTTAGTGACAGCATCAATTGGGAGCAATATGGGATGCAGCATTACAATGTGGGATCAAGGAATTAATTTAGGCAATGGTATAGTCCAAAGGAAAGAAAGGACGTGACGGAGAGGACTATAGATTGTACACACCCTCCATTTACATACGAGAAATTTATAACTGAAATGATCTTTTCCAGTTACATTTTTATACTGTACTATTTTTCTTAACAAATGTGTAATCACATGAAGAGTTTGAAAATACTCACATGGCTATATTTTAGCCAGTGATGCCAAAGGTTGTATTGTACCAATATGTATTCTTTTATGTGCATGCAGGCCACATGTACTTTTGTATATTTGCTGATGGTTTGAATATAAACACTATATGCCAGTGTATTCCCATCATGGGTTTGGAGGAGATTTTGTGGAGGGGCTCAGGACACTAATACGTAGCCAGAGCAAGGCCACTTGCTAAGTGGCTCAGAAACTGGATGAGGTTGTGGCAGTGCTTCAGATTCTTGCAGACCTGTCAGATTGAATGAATGAATGAATATGGACATGAAAGTGCTTTGGGCTTTGATGCCAGTTCCTTTCAGTGGTTTGCAAGGAAGCTGAAGCTGGTGGTATCCGAGCTAACTTGACAGAACAGCATTGAGGAAGTGGATCACTCCAGGTGTTCTGTAGGTATGAACTTCACAGAAGTTCCAGGGGCCCCAATTCCTGATCATGGTTAATACCATTGACAAAAGAAAGCAGCAGATAGCAGAATGGGGTGCAGGAATGTTTCTGAAAACTAACACTGTTAGTGTTTTTTAACTCACTATTTTCCATGAAAATGCAACAACATGTATAATATTTTAAATTAAATAAAAGTCTGTGGTGGTCATTTTGTGCAGTTGTCTTTAATTTCCTGTATTTGAGTATTGCATTTGTGTTTACTTTTAATTCATTCTTTCAGCAGTTGGTAGAGTCTCCAATATTTGGAATATTTACTTGGAACAAAATGGGAACACACAAAAGGACAAATAATGTTTCACAAGTCACCTGTCTACCAGTCTGTTACCTGCAAGCTGTTCTTAGAAGGAATCCATCCTGTCTTTTTTTCCTTCACAACTATTTGAGATGTAAAGTGGGTTAGCACTGACATAGCAATTCTTTATAAACACACGGCATGCTCTTTAGTACAGTTTCTTCACCTCCTCTTTCTTACCGACAGTTTTCTCAGCTCAGCACTCAGTACAGATTACAGTTGTCATGGCAACTCCAGTGTTGTCAGCCACACCCCTTGCAGCCATTTTGTTCTGCCTTTGAGGCAAATGGAGCTGTCTCTTGTGGCTTCCAAATGGACTGTTTTGCAAATGTGGGAAAAACACACCTATGGCCCTATGTTGTTATTAGTTAGCATACCTAGGCCTGGCCCACTGAATACTCTGTGATTCTTGGTTAACCAAGGTGTGGCATCAGCCTGCTTGGTTTCCCCTGTAGGTTTCTTACTTTGACTTCTACATCCTGTTATTGTCTTGTTTAATGAGAGACCACCTGTAACTGAATCAACTGGATCACTTATTTAAAATGCTGACTCTAGGTTATCAACCCTACATGTACTGATTTTAGAATCTTTGAATAGTGGGGCCAGCGGTTTGCATTTCCACCAAGCTCCCCAATGCTTCTTTGGCCCATCAGGTTTGAGAGCTGCTGCTTGGACAACACTCATCACCTTCCTCTCTCTCTCTGTCCCACTCTCTCTTTTATTTTTTCTAACAAGTGCTCACAAACAAATGAGGTAGAACATAGTAAACATCTAATAAAATTTGATAAATAAAAATGAATAGATTTTTCAAAATAGAGTAATAGCTTTTACCTAGAATGAGCTCCTACCATGTGGAAGGCTATGCCTCTTGTTTCCTTGGTCTTGGGTTGGAAGCCAAGAAGAAACATACAAATAAGGAGCCCCAATGGAGATTACTTCTCCAAATGTCTTTAGAGAGATTACTCTATTTCACAATTGATGGCAGACCTAAATGACAGAATCTTAAACAATGGACCTTCCAGGTACCTTTCAGACAGTATTCAACAGTGAACTATTTGATATAAACTTAATATCTCCTCTAGAAGTCCCTGGGTGATATAAATGTTTAATGAGTTCTGCTGGTAACTGAAAGGTTGGAGGTTGGAGTCCACCCAGAAGTGCCTTGGAACAAAGCCCTGGTGATTAAAAATCAGCCATTGAAAACCCTATGGAGCACAGTTCTACTTTGACACACATGGGATTGCCATGAGTCAGAATCAACTCAACAGCAACTGGTACTGATACTGGTAAATATCTCTTCTACTATTATTTAAACTCTACTATTAGTAAATCATTGAGTTAAACATGGTCCTCTTCACTAAATAGTCTTTAAAATATAAAATACTCCTTAGCTAAAAATATTTATCAGATCACTTTTCCCTATGGTGAAGAAATGAACAAGAAAAGTTGCTCAAAGGGGAGAAGGCAAATATAAGGTGTGTGTGTGTGTGTGTGTATGGGGGGGCGGGGAGGCTTTGGGCACCTTGTTTGTTTATGAGGGCAGATCTTTTGCCTGTAATACTCAGAGAGGTGCATTGCCTCCAGATCAGAGGACCAACAATCTCATGGATTATCATCTTCGTCTCTGCCACCAGGGTCCTGTGGAAGTCCAAAGATTCCATAGATTTGAATGGAGCTTGACCCACCATGGAAGGGGAGCCTGGGCATGTAATCTTCCTCCTTGGAGATACAAATTCTAGGCAAGAGAGAGGATGGCAAGTGTGAGCAGGACACAGTTACCAGGGACTGTCTGGGCCATCCCTTCTTCCTACCTCCCAGCACATACATCTGCTCATCTCCCTTCCTCCAACTTGATTCCCTTCCTTCTGCTATTTCCACTTTCTCACCTCCATATCTTTATTCTTACTTTCACATTCATCAAGATGCCTCCTCCATCAGATTCTCTGACACTTTCAGCCCACATGGATTTCTCTCCTTCTGTTTTATTACTCTACTTGGTTTGATCTCTAACAGTTTCAAATGTGCATGTCTTTTCTCCCTAATTTGGTTGAGAATTTCTCCAAGACAGGGATTATCACTGCTTTAGGAACATAGTAGATGCTCATATAAATTGATCCAAATGTTGTGGAGCTAGGACATTGGGACTATGGCTGTGTTTTCTTATAGATGGCTTCAGCCTAATCTCTTTCCCCTCTGATCAGAAGAACTGTGTGGGCATCAATCCATCTCTTGGCTTGCATCTTTAAGACTCTGGAATGTCAATTCCAGCTGCCTACTCTACCTTGCATGTTCTGCTCATACATCAATCCAGTCTTAATTCCAATCTTTTTTGAGGGGTAATTTCTCATTTTTGTTTTCTCTTACATTTTCCTTTTTGTACTGTGACTTGTTGTTTAAGCTGATATATTTTTATACCTTTCCATATGCAGAGCTGATACACACTTAATTTAGTTGGGACCAAACTTGCAAAATATTGATGTCAGTGTGCTGCTAACTGGAACAAAGCCAGTTAAGAGTCTCTTGAGAATTTATAAATTTACATTATTGTTTCAGTTGTTCTCAAGGCAAAAGAAAAAACAGCTTTCTCTACAAAGTGTTCTTATTGCTTGACTTCTTTCTACCCATTTAGAGCCCTGTGCCTTTATAGCTCAGTCTCCTTAGAGGTCTAGTTTTGTTCTAAACATTTTTCCCCCGTCTCAGTTCAGTTTTCCCTATGTAGACCAGAAAGATGATGCACTCTATTGATTAGAGGAAGGAAACATTCTTTCCTTCCTCTTTTGTTTCTTTGGTTACAGCCTGAGATAGGAGACAGTAGATAGATAGGCTTAGTTGTTGTTGTTATTGTTGTTGTTATGTGCCATTGAGTCGAACCCGACTCATAGCGACCCCTCCTTGGGTTTCCCAGGCAGTATCACTACAGAAGTAGATTGCCCCATCTTCCTTCTGAGGAGTGGCTGGTGGGTTTGAACCACCAGCCTTCTGGTTAGCAGTCAAGTGCCATAGGCACTACGCAACCAGAGCTCCCAGGCTTAGTTGTTGTTATGTGCCGTCGAGTCAAACCGGACTCATAGCGACCCCTCCTTGGGTTTCCGAGGCAGTATCACTACGGAAGTAGGATTGCCCAACCTTCCTTCCGAGGAGTGGCTGGTGGGTTTGAACCGCCAGCCGTCTGGTTAGCAGGCAAGTGTCTTAGCCACTATGCTACCAGAGCTCCCCCCAGGCTTAGTAGGCTTAGCTAAATAAAATAAAAATAGAGGATGCCTGTATTTGACCTGACAACCTTTTGACAGTAATTCTACTGCAGTGTGAGCAAAATGGGTGCTAGACCTCATCCTCAGAAGTTTCTGTGCAGGAGCTATCTGTGACTGTAGCTGTTGTTCCAACTCTAGCATGATTGCTTATTCCCACTGCTAGAAATGTTTAGGATTGATGCTCAATGTTACTGGGGCTAATGGGTCCTGTAAAGGAGGTGGGTACTTATCTTCTAAGCTATTTGTTTTAGAAATTAACCCATTTTATTCTCTATGGCACAGAGCCTTTCCTTCATGGAAATCTTTGCTCTCCTGGATGTGCTCTGTTATAGTTGTTCTTACATCTATTGTGCACAATTATCATCTGGAGCATTTGGAAAAATGCAGATTGAGGTGCTATACACCCAAAACTTCTCATCTGCAAGATGTGAAACAGAGCTTGGGATTTTAATTCTGATTCAATGAGTCCTTTAAGAAGCTCTGGTCTAACTCAGGATCTGAGCATCATAGATGGTTAGAGCTAGAGAAGACACCTTGAAAATTATCCTCACGATTTAGAAGAAAAT